GGGGGAGTGGGAGAGGGAGAAGCAGACTCCCTGCGGGGCAGGGAGCCCGGTGCGGGGCTCGATCCCAGGACCCTGGGATCATGACCTGAGCCGAAGGCAGACGCTTAACGACTGAGCCACCCAGGCGCCCCTTTTTAAGGTCTTTTTCTAATAGAATACTCTTCAGAACATCCTCAGCTAGAGACACACTGATTATGACCAATCATCTCCAGTCTTCTCTCACTCGTCTCTTCTGTTCCTTGGCTACCATGATAACTCTTGTTGTTTACACTAGCCACAGTCTTTCTTACTCTGTTATTTCTGTGACTAAACCAAAGGACTTGGAACAGAAAGAAATAAATTATTTAAATAATTTGACTGAAAACAGTTCCCCTTTTTGTGAAGTCAGTGTTCTTTAATTGGCATTTGTATACAAAGCATTTTATTCTTGGAATAATTATGTTTTCATCAGGCTATAAATCATCATTTCTTACCCAGGAACTTTAAAAAACACTACTCAGTAAAAGATACACTTGGCATCCCAGATTGGAAGAGATGACAGTCACCTAATTCAACAGTTTTCACAGTTTTTAGCCACGGATCCTTGCCTTTTCCAAACAAAATCTTTAGTAGAAATTCATTATGTAACAAAGAGTGGTGCTGCTCTGAATGAAGGGAAAAGAAAGGAGTAGAGACCCTTAGCCCTTGGGTGACCTCAAGGCTCTTCCCTAAATGTGCTTTGCAAAATAGTTTTCTGATCTGTCCTTTCTTGGGTTCCCACTCAAGGAACCACTTAGAATTCTTTCTACAACTTCTTGTTTGTGTTTCCTTTCAGTGTCCTAATTTCTCTTTGATTTGGGGGAGTTCTTGATAATGTATAATCTCAATCTTTCCTATTGTAAATTATTGAATAAAATAAAGTTTATTCTGCTTGACTGCTTGGCATATCTCGTCTGTCTGTTCTATAACTTCTCATTGATTGCTTTTTTCATACATGTGGTACATTACTAGAATATCTGGATACATACTAAATGTGAGTTGTGAAACTCAATGAAACAGTCATGACTAGTGGGACCAACCATCCAGGAACTGAGGGATTTCCAGAAACACAGGACTGTCAGTACTAAAACCAGGGAAGTCCCAGGCAAACCAGAACAAGTTCGTCACCCTGATCTTAACACAAAGTGGTACCCAACTAAAGTTTTCAAGTGGATGTATTTCACATTTCAGTGAGTTTTGGTATGTGAATAAGTAGATTAATTGTCCTGAGCAGATTAATTGTCCTGAGCATTTTAAATCAATTTTCAAGTTCCATAAGCATGGAGACTAGCAATTTATAATCCAGTTTTTTTGGTTTCATTGAGAAAGTCTTACTATATTCCTGTTCAAATATTCTCCAATTCCATGGATATGAATTGGACTATGTGTCAGATCACACTAGTGGCCACAGGGTTGATTACTGAGGAACTTAATTTCTCACTTGTGTTTTAAAAAATTAGTTACCTGGTGGGGAAGGGTGCAAGTACAGATGAGATGGGGGAGTTAATGTTTTACTATATTGTCTTATTACATATCCATCACTTTCTCCCTTTATCCATATATGTATATATACATATTAAACATTTCAAAGTAATTTGCAAATTGCTATGCACTTCTCCCTAAATATTTCCATGTATTCATCATCTAGAGGTCAGTATTTATTTACAGGTTTTTGGGGGGTGCAAAACTTACATGCAGTGAAATGCACAAATCTTCCATGAACATTTGCTGAATTTTGACTAACGTATACACCTGTGTTACCAAAACTCATCAAGGTACAGAACGTTATTTCATGGCTGAGGCAGGGCCCCATCCAAGGCAATCTCCACCCCTAGATGCAACAACCGTTTCATTTATTTCCTAGGTAGATTAGATTTGCCTGTTCTAGGCCTTCATGTCTATGGAATTGTACAATTCATACTCTTCTCCAAGGCTTTCTCCTCTGTATATTTTGGAGATTCATCCATGTACCGATCCTTTGTTCCTTTTATTGCTTAAAATAGACCATAATGTATTTATCTATACAGATTATATTTGTAAAAAAGGTAGAAAAGCCAATAGGAATAAATATTTTAATGCTAAGTTAGTCTCTGGCTTTGTTACTGTTGTCTATCTTGGAGTTAGTCTCCACATTTCTGGACCTCAGAGATCCATAAAAACATATGGATTAAACTTCGTTAGGCAATGTCTACCTCTAAGTGCAGTAAATATACTAATACTTTTTAATGGCAAACACAACTGTTATTCAACATTTCCTGTTTTTAACCCAAAAAAGTCTTTTCTGATATCAGCCTTCATGAACTGGTGAATTTATGCTCTAAATTTGAGCAAAAACATTTGTTTTGGCCCTGGATAATAGGCTTCATGAGAGAATAATTGGGATTTTTAAATTAGTAACAAGCGTTAAACACATGATAAATTTTGAGTTATACCTAATTTTAGCACTTTCTGCATTGTTAAGGTTAATGCTCTGGATAATCTTGGTCAGACTTCTCTGCATAGAGCTGCACACTGTGGTCATCTGCAAACCTGCCGCCTACTCCTGAGCTATGGGTGTGATCCGAACATCATATCCCTTCAGGGCTTTACTGCCTTACAGATGGGAAATGAAAACGTGCAGCAACTTCTTCAAGGTATTAAATGCTTTCATGAAATGAACTTTTTTTTTTTTTTTAAAGATTTTATTTATTTGACAGAGAGACACAGTGAGAGAGGGAACACAAGCAGGGGAAGTGGGAGAGGGAGAAGCAGGCTTCCCGCGG